GTCAGAAATAGTCAGAATCAGTCAGATTTTACTGGAAATCGATCTCGTATTCGGTTCTCTGACTATTGAGAGGACAAAAAAAAGAGTAAAAAAGGTCCTCTCTCTGTCAGAAGTTACCAGTTTTAGTCCGAAGTTTTTTTGCTGGCAAGTTCTGGTAAATGTGTCAAACGATCAGCTGTAGCATGTTTGGCAACCCAATTGTAAGCAAAAGAAAAGTGCACTCTGCTAATGCATGTTGAAATTTTAAAGTATTTTTGGTTATTTATATGTGTGAGCTGAGTGTGTTTACATATAAAATAAGCAAAAATTTACAACCAAAATTTGGAGGTTATGTTGAAGTTGACAGAAGTTACCATTTTATACTAGAAAGCGATCCCGTACTTTCCAATTTTACTCTCTCGCTTTGAGCGAATTTTTATTTTTTTACAGTTTTACTAATTTTAGCCCGAGGAATACGGGATTGCGCCTATTATCGAATTTGTGTGGCACATTTTTCGGCCCACTAGAAATTACAACAGTCATGTGCAAAGTTTTTTGACTCTGTCAGAATAGAGGGGTTATGATCAGTTTCGAAACTAAAATATTCCGAAAAAGATTAAAATTTTACTATGCAAAGGTGACATTAAATAAACTTTCCAATTCTAAGATAAATTAAATTAAGTATCAAAAGTAATGACCAGGGCCGAAGAAAATAAGCAAGAAAAAATCCATTTTAAGCGCTTAGATAAGCCCGAAAACATTGGCAAATATGCTCGCAAAAGAAAAAAAATGTAGTGTACAGTTTAATGTTTTTTTTTTAATTCAGTTTATTTCAAGGATTGAAAATTTAAAATCGACAATCAAGTGTTGCTTGATATTCTCAAATAATAGAGATCTGCCCTGGTCGTTTTAATATTTTTAAATATTCGTTATTCTTCATTTCACATAAGCCAATATAACAATAACACCAATGCCTTCCCGTAAAGACAAACCATTAGTTTAAAATTTTTGTACCCAAGCAGAAATGCAATTGGAGTTACACGTTAATAAAAACCAAATCTGTTTTTATATTTGTAAACATTTCGACGAAAAAAAAACGCCAAAGAAATGGTCAGAAAAATTTATTGAGTCAAATTTTCTTAAGCAGTACGAAGTTCTTTAGAAATTTGCTACGCTTTCTACTATGGTTTGCTAAAGTTGGTTTATGAAGAGTACAAGGCACCCTTGCTTTCAACAGAAATATATGCTAGTTCCATTATTTCGGAAGGAAAAGTGAGACAGCAGGCTGTAAAATATTAGATGTCAAAACTCCTTGGACTCTACTATTCACACACACGAAATAATAGCAATTTATTTCTTGGCCGTTTTCTTGAAAGGTCCGTACTTTACACATTAAAATAAGCAAAATAAACATGATCGTTAAAAGTAAGTTTGGAAACCCTGAATAAGCAAAAGTTTAAACTTCTCGGCCCTGGTAATGACGTCTATTGGGGTGTTCACAGTTCGTTCCAAATAGTGTCTGAAAATGTAGACGTCCACATTTTAAGGCGTTTTCTAACCGTAAAATCTGTGGTGTTGTTGTTTCCCATACAAAATTGGAAAACGACGCCGTCTACATTTTGTCACACTCAAAGGTATGTTTTTTACGCGTCTACATTTTGCAACCTCGCAGCAGGGTTGCATTATGGCAATACTAATCANAGTTGGTTTATGAAGAGTACAAGGCACGCACTTGCTTTCAACAGAAATATATGCCCGTTCCATAATTTCGGAAGGAAAAAGTGAGACAGCAGGCTGTAAAATATTAGATGTCAAAACTCCTTGGACTCTATTATTCACACACACAAAATCATAGCAATTTATTTCTTGACCGTTTTCTTAAAAGATCCGTACTTTACACATTAAAATAAGCAAAATAAACATGATCGTTAAAAGTAAGTTTGGAAACCCTGAATAAGCAATTCCAAGCAAAAGTTTAAACTTTTCGGCCCTGGTAATGACGTCTAAAATTTTTTTTTAGAATCTTGAAGAAGTAAAGTATTGACTCAGCACTTCACTACTGCTGTCATCTCGACTGTGACGTCAGCAAAACAGCTGATTCTGTCAAATTCATTAAGAGCAGGTTAGCGGTATTGCCATCGGCGCCACCTTCTGTATTCTCTACACCGTGACACCCAGATGTCATCAAAGATGCAAACACAGCTGGAAGCACAGAGATCGCAGTTGTCGTCAGATATTTCGTCACAGCTACAAGCACACAAGACACTTGTATCGTAGTTGTTGGAAATGCAGTATGCAAAGATTACTCAACTGCAGGAGAATTTGGCTAGAGATGAAACAATTACCTAAAATCATTGTTCAAATAAATACGCCTTGCCCTTTCCCTTAATAATATTTCTTTGAAAATATCCCTCAAATAGGGAAACTATTTTGTAATCTGGCATCACTGACTCTGCTTCGTTTTCTGATGCAATTAAATTCACAATAGTCCAAACGCACCTAACTTTCCACTAAACTCGGATTGGCGTTTATACTTTCGCATACGGGCATAAATTTGTTTCTTTTTTGACAAATTTTATAGACGAGCCATTTAAACTTAAAATTTTCCAATTATCTCGTAAGGAGAGGTTATACATTCACGCAGCAGTTATGGATCTTAGTCTCGACGAAATAATTAAAACCAAAAAGATCGCTTTGCCTTCAGCTGTTAAAAAGTTGTAAGTATAAGCATATAAAATGGTGAAAAGTGCTTGAAGATACTGAGTAAGCGATGAAAGGGCCAACATAAAATCAATCAACTAATCTTTATTAACTATTGCAGCAATAATACGGAAAACCCACGCAAGAGTTTGCCCTTGCGGAAAACCTTAAATAAACCAATATTCAAGCAGAGTATCGTAACTGATGCTCGTAATAAAATCATACAGAAAAATCGTGAAAAGATACTTGATGCCCGTGATAAAATAGCAGAACTGACACGTCCCATTGGTGATGTGCGCCAACGTTTGTTGGCAAAAAAGCTGTCTGCTAATAGTGGACTCAAATCTCGCGGTGGTTCAAAGAAACTGTATACAACCGCATATCGAAATGGTGTGTTGAAACCTAAGCCCGGTTTGAAGAGCACACAGCCTTTTTTACGACAACCAGCACATGTATCAGCCCGCTTGCCAGACTTAATAAATGTTCCTCGGGGCTATGTTGACTATGATGATATGGAACGTTTGGAAGAAGGTAAGCTTTGCATATACATCAATTTAAATTGTGGAATTGTGTATACATTCGTCAATTTTCCAGAGGAAATGGCTGCCGCAACACGTATAACTCAAACTGTGAGGAATCAGTTCTATAAACCACCAGAATTGCTTTCAACTCGAACTGTAACAATCAGTTTTATAAACCACCTGATCGCACATGTCCCCAGAATTACCACCACCACCGCCCAAGGGCATACTGCGGCCCAGTACACGGCAACTAAGCCCAGACGTTTATCAACGCCGTTATGTGCCAGAGCTATCATCACATCTATCTTATGAGATGCGTTCACGTTTGGAACGTGCTCCTGATCCGCATGCCTCCATGGGAATATTTTCCAATCCATTGAAGTCATCATCCTCATCAGGTTACCGTATCGTAGTCAGTAATTTGCACAGCAGCGTAACTCAGTCAGATATTCAGGAACTTTTTGAGGATATTGGTCCTTTATACGATTCGCGTTTAGTGCGGCCCGGTGTTGCTGAAGTTATATACAAATCATTAACGGATGCAGAAAAGGCGGTAGATACTTATCACAATCGTCAACTAGATGGCCAGCCAATGAAATGCCTACTAGTAAACCCCCGAGCTTCCAACAAGCCCACCGCACCTGCATTGCCCACAAGCTCAAGTTCTCGCGGCCCTTCAGGAAAGACACCATTGGAAATTGATATCGACGCATTGCACAAGGTGCTCTTCCAACGTCATTAGCATTATCCTTACAAATAATATGAAATAAGTAAAATACAGTGAGCATAATTGGATGTGGTTCAAAGGGGCAGCAGTATTCAATTGAAAATGTGCTGAATATAGATGCAAATGTTTTGGTCCAGCTTGCAGATAAGACAAACACCTAAATATCAATATCTAAATGGATGTATCAGTAAACTTGATTATTATTACATATATATGTATTTGCATTTATCGATGGTACTCTGCAAACACAATTCAAAATTCAAAAAATAAAAATTGTTATTTCTGTTTAGTGGCTCTTGTCTCTAATCCTTGCCTAAACCATTTCCATCCCTTACTAAAGTAAGCAGTAAAGATTGCTAAAGTAATCACTGAGCATTAGACATGGATTCGACAAGAATTGGAGACATAAGCCAATTAACAGTAGTAACAGTTTTTATTTTTTGAATTTTGAATTGTGCCGTTATTGCAGAGGTTCATCGATATGTACATACATACAAACATATATGTATACAGACAAAATACCTGCTTAATTTTTAAAATATTTTATCCTTTTATGCTGCTATAAATAAAATTATTTGAAATATTAAAAATAAACTCATTTAGGTACAGTTTTAGCATGATACAAAAATTTGAAGGTAAACCGCTGAGAGGCAGCCTGAACATGTTTGAAGTTTGCTAACATAACAAAAATGTTTTCAAATTTTCAATCTCAGAAATACATTCTCACTTTCCGCCTCAAATAAAAGAAAATTTTAATATTTTCATCCAAGGCGAATTAATATAAGGTGATAGCAGGAGTACAAAAACAAAAATTTACATGTATTTTGTTTTTGCTTTGGCGGCATAAACTGTCAAAATATGTAAGAGTGTGTGTAGAAATTCAAACAAAATTTTTCAATTTGATATCAGAAGTCGTGCGGCGAAACACATACACAAAATCAGCTGAGCTAGTAAAACCACCTTATATAAATTCGCATTGTTTTCATCTATTTGTTTTTCGTTTTACTTTTATTTGGCAATTGAGTCGCTCTTAAAATTTCAATTTTTGTAAAGTAGACAAACTTCAAAAAATAAATGATGGCCGACGAATTGAGCGAGCGGTTTTACCTTTAAATATTTGTATCATGCAGTTTTAGTAAGCTTATGTAATTTTTCTTTAAGCAAATCGACAATCTTTTGAATTAAATGTAGCTAATTTCAAAAGAAAATTGGAAATATTGGCTCTTAATACTAAGTCGGGGGCCACATATGTATGCAAAACTCACCGGTTACTTTAAGGTGGTGAATATATATATTTTTTGTGGGCTTTGGGTAGGTTGGCTGGTTTTCACCATCGCCAGGTTATTCCTCTAATTTAATATATGTCTCTTTGTATGTTATATTCCGTTGATGTATCCAATCGTCGCTCCACTGATACACGATGGTAATACCGCTATGGGCCAGAACCACGTGCACAAGTTTCTGCTATGCTTATTTCAAATCTTTATTTTTTATTAAATCTTGATTTTATCGTTTTTAAAATTTGTGTTGTGTTTTCTTGGTAGGAGCCTTAGCGGTCCACAAGTAACCGTAATTATGTATTAAATTGTATTAATCTGTATGTGTTTAATGGCAGGGAACTAGTCCACGTATCGCCAGGTTATATCTCAAAAATAAAAATTTTATAAATATATGTCAGATGTTTGTTACAATTTAATTTTATCCTTTAGTCATTTTCATGCAAACTATACTTCATCAGTTCTATAGCAGTTTTTAGTTATTTATCCAATCAACAGTCATGTCTATACCGTGCAAACGGTACTTTATTTAGCTTTGCATCTTCTTTGTTTAACGAATTTAACATTAAGGCTGCGTTTCTTTATACATTCCGGATAATCCCATTTCACAGCCGGAATAAACAGAATGCGTTTCAAATATACGTTCTAAAGAATAAGTAAACAAACAAGTTTATTCCAATCATTCAGAATGAATAAAGAAATGCAGCCTATGTTAATATTTCACTTGGAAAACTTCATATGTATGTTTTATTTAAATTCATTTTTTAACATTATATTTTAAGTTTAAATATTATCAGATATCTTTTATTTTAATTTGGAACGATTCATTATATTATATTTATTACATATTATTGTGTATAACACGACAGGATATTTTGGATTGTGATCCCCAAAGAACGTAAATCTACGGATTAGATATAAACAAAGAGCGTATACCTACATTTACGGTCTTTGGTAAAAAAAGCGTAACTTAATAAATCGCGCTGGCAGCACCACAGAAAATTCGTTTGTTTCGATTCGTTCGCTAAAGTCCACTCGTTAACTTTTGCTTTTCTCGTTTCTGCTCGATGGAAGAAGGAGAAGCTTGGTTCGCGTTATTTTCCATAATAAAAGGTAATGTCTAAATACTTTAAAAAGCTAAATTTTTACGAAAAACGCAATTCCGACGCGTGCTCGTGTTGAAAATACTGAAAAAACAAAAATATTATGGCCAGAATATTGATTTTACACTAAGAACAAATTCTGCAGTTTTTTGTTATCGTGAAAAATAAAGCAAACAAAAAGAAAGTACCAGCGAGTATTTTATAGGTGAAAGCAAAACAAACCCAATAAATGCACAGCAAGCGAAACTTTAATGGGAAACAGTGCTAGTGCGACCAGGAATGAGCAGGCCATACCGTCGTCCAAGCAACGGCAGCAGCAGGAGAGTATTGGTGAACAAGAGTTGGGTGAACGTATACACGACAAAAAATTAAACGCGGAGAAGAAAACAGAACCACAACACCAAAACGGTTCCCACATTAACAAATTCAGCATCCATAGGACACGAAGTAAAAGTTCGACAAACAGCAAGAAACCTGAAGAATATGAAACAGGACTACGCAGTGAAGGGCAATTAGCTGCTAACACAAGCGGAACACAGCGCACACGACAGGTATTAAACCAACCAAACCTACATTATTTAAACTATTACTATATTTACTTGCTAATCAAGTACATTGTGTTTCACGCTGGGGGTCAGTCAGTTAATTATCGTTAGCATGGCATGTTGAATATCTATCGGTTGACATCATTACACTGAATAGTCTTTTGACAGCGCATATACGCATACAAACAAAATACATACATAATGGCAATTGAAGAAAGAAACATAAACAGCCAGGAAACAATGACAACTCACCCTCAACTGCGTGCGCCTATGCCTCAACTGTGTCAGTGTCATTGCTCGCAGCAGCTAAAGCTACATACTTTCATATAATCGCCACAATCAATATCTGCTGAAATAACCAGTGGCAGCACCTGATTAGAAGCCTTCAATCCGGACATGGAGAGTATGTATGTATGTACATAGATATGTATATAGGAATGAATCTGTTCCAAGAGGAATAATCCGCATTTTTCGATATGACAATTTCGATACAATTCGGTACGATTAAAAAAGCTAGGTTAATCTGCAACAAATTTCCTTATCGAAAAATTGCTAACTTATTCCCTTTGCTAATTAACAGACTCATATACCTAAATACATATCGTCGATGTTTTTGCAAAACCGCCCATCTACCAATTGCAAAACCGCCTATCTTACGGCACTCAAATTTTACAGGAGAGCGAAAAAACGGGTTTTCTTTGAAGGCATTGCCTTGATAGGCGGTATTTTCTCTAGCTATTAATTTTTTTTTCGCATGTATAACTCAATTCTTTCTTAAGACGACTTAGTTGGTTATTGCTTATGACCACAGATATATGGCGTGTGTTCGCCTTAACGCGCTGCTGGAGTTTACAGTGAGAAACGATTGCGTCGCCATTCATACAAACATATCTATGTACATACATACATGCGTCGTTCAACGACCATTACGCGTCGGATCAACGCTGCCGTTTTTATTCCCATTGACTTTTTGCGTAGTTTCCTTATTTTTCTGCGAAAAAAAAAAATCATTACGAACAGCAAAGTCTTTGTTATGTTCCAACTCACGAAGTAAAACCAAAAGCTTCTCCCTCTGTATCCCGCACCATACTCTTTCATATACATAGGTACTTATAAAAACAGCTGTTAAATTCTAATTCTGTTTATAGTGTATAAATATACAAACATATGCATGTGCATAAATGTAGGTACATACATCTGTATGTGTAGTATACAAAAACATACATACATATGTACATATATATGTACTATTTTTGGCAAGATTTCATTAGCATTTATTTCTGTTCTTTGTGATTTGTTTTTTGCTTACATATTCCTTTCTTTACACCTATATAAATCAAAAGGTTTTTATTCGATTTGCCCTCGCTTCTCTTACCGCCTATTATGAATTTTCATACGATAGACGATAAACGCTTGCAAGCGTATCGCATGAAAGCAGTTCTCGTATTATCGTTTTCATATGCCCGGTAGATGTATTGTGAACAATGTTGCCGTTTTGATCCATTCGGATCCAAATGGATACTTTTTTCGATGAATTTTATGTGGATACTTTTTTTGTGCTCAGTACGAATACCTTTCTTTATCTTAATTTATAGTCTGTAATATTGTAAATCATAAACTGAAAAAATATGAATAACAATAATAATAACGCAAGAGTCGAGATATTTGAAAACCCTGCATTTAAGTTCCGATTTGGTTAATATTTAGATCATATATTAACTACATGAAATAAATAAGTGGCGCACGAGTCGATACATTTGGTAAATTAGTATTTATGGTCCGATTTCGTTCATGAATTTAGAAAGCTTGCTTTAAAAATTATTGGTTTTACTATTAAATTATTTTTCTGTAACTTTATATGATTTGAAAAAAAATTCTATCATGTCAAATTAAAAAGTTATAACTGCACCTTGTAGCGCCTAGGCTATATTAGTTGTGTTTATTCTGGTTATCCAGCTCAGTATCATGATCATTTCTCACGGAAACGGTCCAGATCATTCTTATTGGGGTTGGCAGCACTAATGGGTGCCTTTTATACTCATAGTACGAGGATGACGAAATTCAAACAAATTTATTCACTAAATGGGGAAACGTATATTTAAACGAAATAATATTCACTTAAACAAATATTTACGTAAAGGTAATTTATTTGAACAGAATATCTGTTTGTGTATACATTCATTTATCAGGGCTACCAAACTGTACTTCCAAATTATCAGTGACACAAACCAAACAGAGCAGATTATAAATTGAATCAGATTTCTATCAGGATCATATAGTTGTTGTGGCATTTGCGTGCAAATTTTTTATCCGGATCCCGATCATTGCCCAAGAAAACATAGCTATTTTTACTAGAGATAGGCGTGTGAGTAATTTTGGCTCACGTACACGCACGCTCACGTTGATGGTTATGTAAATCACGCACACTCACGTCGTGCTATATATTTTCAGTCACATTCACGCACGCTCACGACGACTATTTTTTCAATCACGCACGGTTTCTCACGGACATTATTTCAAATTGAAACTTTTTTATAAATAGCATTTCATATAAATAGGCTTTTATCACACAAGTATTATTACAAAATCTTGGCCAAACGTCTGGCAAGGGCTGAAAGCACTATTATTATTTTAACAAATTTCAGATATACTTATGTATCTAATACGAGTATAAAACAGAATTGGTATCAATATTCATTCTTCCAGAATTCTGCGCGACACAGAAAAAACTCTCACTGGTTGCTGAGCTACCTCGAAAGACTTCTAAGAAGTGGTAAATCTTTAGTTTTCTCCAAAAATTTTAAAACATCATCACAACTTTTAGTTTCCGATTTTTTCAAATAAATCTGTATTTCCGTATTAATTTTTTCAAAGACTGCTTCTGCAGATTCATTTATTGCATCTTTAAATTGGTGAAAAGTTGCACGAGTTTTTGCCCTATTCGAGGTAGAAGGAATGTCATCATGCAGAATTTGGAAATCGTGCTGAGGGCGAGCGCTCTTTTCTTCAAGTACATTTCTACCTAAGTTATCTTCAAGTATTGCCTTTACTATATAAGTATGTTCGTGCTGTTCTGCGGATAAAAACTGTAACTTTTTAAACAGAGGATTTAAAAACAATCTCAGAAATTGGACTGAACTTGGTTGGATTCTTTTATTTAAAGCAACAGCAGTGTTCCTCATCAAATCGATAATGACTTCAGAATCAGATGCATTCGCCTAACAATGCTTTTGTAGTTTTTTGTACCACAGAATGTGCTCATGGATGGTTGGATTTAAATCCGCGCTCAAATTTTCAGAACACATCTTGAAAGGGGCCAGAAATTCTAACAATTTTTCCAATAAATTTGAATTTACTCTAGATAGTTTATGAAGCTCATCTCTTTCTATCAATAATTGGCATTTCGTGAATGCCGGACAACATTATAAATAAGGAGTTCCACCGTGTCTTAACTTATTGCTTTAAAGACTTTGATAGTTTGTTATTGGGTTCGGTATGATTAAAATAGTCTACAAGCTTTTTTGAAGCGCCTATCCATTCATATGGAAAAAAGTGCAAAAGCCGTCAGCAAAAGAAAAAAAATATTAAAAATCAATGCGTTTTTATAGCCGCTCAATACTTACACTCATTTTACTAGAATTTTAAAAGGTTGTTGCATACCCAAAAAATTTCTAAAAATTATGGTTAAGAGAACCTCGAAATTTAGGTACACATTTTTGGAATTTTTCTAAGTTCTATGAAAAGTTTGAAAGTGTGATTTATATAGTTTTTGTTTTAAGCATGAACCACATTTTTATAAAAAAATATTTAAAAAAATTATAGCTTGAAAAACATTGTAAATATTAAAAACCATTCATTCATCCATCATCCATTTTTGATCGCCACTGTACATACATATGTGAAAATTACCTGATTGATGAAAATCTAACTCACGCACACTCGCGCACTCAAAAATTTCAGTCACGCACGATCACGGATATTACGGATATTTTTCAGTGAAAGTCGCTCACGCGCACGCGTGCCCATCCCTAATTCCTGCCCATCTCTAATTTCTACCAAACTTAATAGTCGTCAACGATGCACCCAACTTGAATCCCGAAGTTGTTTACTTGTTATTACGAGTATTATCATACATGTGAACTCTTTCACAATTACTATGTAGAAGTTGGTGGTTGTTTAGTAAAAACTGGTTAGTACATACATTTTTTCTTGCAGAAGAGCTACGCAATAATTTGTCATAGGGGTTATTTTCGCCGACGGTGTTGCGGGTCTCTTCGATACACAAACAAATTGTGCTTATTCGTTATATGGAAGCAAATGCGAAAAAAATCTAAAAAATCAACGGTAATTTGTGCCACTTAAAATTTGCACATTATCACACTAAAATTAAATGGACTATAAAACTGCGTACTCCAAAAAATTCTAATACCTCTGAGAAAAAAGTTTGAAACTTGGATGAAAATTTGTAGAATTTTTTGTACTCTTTTACAAAGTTTAACTTGGGTTTTGTTAGATTATGAACTGTATTTTAATTGAAAATTCTTAAAAATGAATAATTAAACATAAGTGACAAACAATTCCACTTTGAAATAGGGGTGCTATACATATGGCCAGTACTGTATATACATACATACATATACTTTAGGGTGGTCCAAAAATGCTTGTGAAAAGCAAAGTCGGAATTTTTATGCTTCAGTCTTTAGTATTAAAAAATTGTTAAATAAACAATTGGGTATTGTTATTGGAAGTCCCCTGAAGAGAACCAGAGTTTTCCGATCGAAAAATATTGATTTGAATTGTATACCATTTCTACGAAAACGGTTTTTCTCCCATATAAAAAATTTACATGGAAAACTTTGAGCGCTTTGAGCGACATCTAAATATTTTTTGATTTCAAACTAAAAAAATAGTGGTATATTATATATGGGTCTTTGTATAAATATCTTTTTTCGTTTCGTGGGATGATTATTTTCAGATGGAAATTATTTACGTCTTTTCATAATAATTATATGGGATTTTTATTTTTCTCGTCTCTCGGGACGTTTATTTCAAGACGAATATTGTTTACGTTTTCTCATAATAATTAAGTGGAATTTTTTTTTCATCTCGCGGGGCGTTTATTTCAAGACGGAAAGGATTTACGTCTTGTCAAAATAATTATGTGGGAATTCTATTTTTTTCATCTCGCGGGACGTTTATTTCAAGACGGAAATGATTTACGTCCTACGTTTTCTCTTAATAGAATCGGTACATGTACCGCCGATTTCACGAAATCAACTCAAATATCTCCGAGCACATCTGGCAACCCTTTTCAATAAACTAAAACTACGTAAAAGCAAAGCCCTTTATTTTGACACCACATTTTTGAAAATCGGACGAACGATGCAGATTTGATGACATGAACAATCGTGGCGTTAAATATTTAAGGCGTTAAATCTCTGAACTCAGTTAAGAAGTTTCCTTCTTTTATTTGTAATTATTGGGAGACGTAAATCATTTCCGTCTTGAAATAAGCGTCCCTAGAGACGAAAAAATATAAAAATCCCATATAATTATTATAAGAGGACGAAAATAATTTATATCTTAAAATAATCGCCTGCGAGACGAAATGTCGATTTTTTATAATTTTTATACAAAGCATGAAAAGTGGAT